GAAAACAAGCGACCCGAGCTCGCTCTCATGGGTCTAGCGAATGCGATAGAGCGCCTTACTCAATGAAGAAAAAGCCCCTAAGGAGTAAACTCACTCCTCTAAGGCCTCGGGGCTACACACCCAGTGGAGTGCCTTCATGCGCACCCACCGAAATCATGATATAAAACAAACCCGACAAGAGCCACCGAGAAACAAAAGTCTCGAAAAAAAACCTCGGGAGAGTATCCCACAATCCCTTGAGAGGCTCGGGGCTACTCTTGTCGGATACAAGAAAATGGGGTACCCCAAGCAAAGATCAAAAAACTGCTTAGACCCTAAGAACAGAACCAACGGAATAAACAAACGAGGTCTCGGTCGAAATCTCCGATTAGCCCGAGACCCCGTCGCCGAGCCCCAGCGAAAGCGAATGATTCTCTGACTTGCCCGAGACCGCCTCGCCGAGGCCCCCTCGTCAAGGCCCCCTCGCCCGGGGCCTCGGAAGAAGTGCCGATTCTCCGATTCGCGTGAGGCCAGCTCGGCACCAACCCCGTGACCGCCTCTTTGACCAAACTGCTCTGACCGAACGTCGCATCCAAGCGCCCAACCACTCTGACAGACGCACGATGGCATAGTACAATGAGTGACCGACTACACGCTAGTCGCGTCAACCTCCCCATCATCTGCGGCGGCACAGAGCGAGGTTACCGACCCGCGGCGCCTAACTCCTGCGCCAAGGGACATCGCAATGTGGGGAGTCGAAATGGGTTCCTGTAGCCTCGGAATCAGGGGACCAACCACTCCGGCTCGCCCGAGCCCCTCAACAGGCCTCGATTCATCGATCTTACTCCGCCTCGCCCGTCGCCGCCGAGACCCCCGGTAGGGGCCTCGGACGAATTGGCCCGCTCCGCCTCGCCCGGCCGGGCTCGTCCCGCAACCTCGTCGCCTCCGCCTCAAAGGTCTCTGGCGGTATCGCATCCAATTAATGCGCTCACCGCACCCTTCACGTAAGCCACGATCGGGTGGTCTTGGCTGCAACAGAGCGATGGGACAACGGTCGATCACCTTTTTACCATCCTTTCGACAATACAGTACCGTATCCTATAGGCACACGCGTCTCGCACTATTCCGCTGATGACCGCTTGGACCCGCATACACTGGGTCATTTCTCGAGGCCTCGGCACGGCGAGCCTCGGCAACAGCCTCGGCACAAACAGCCTCGGCACGATAGGCCTCGATCGACCGGCTACGATGGCCAGCCGAGCCTCTGCAATCCACCAAGTCAACAAATGAGCAAAGCATGTTACTTGCGGTGGAGACCATACCGATTAGACATCTCACGGAACTCTCCACGACGCGCATGCTTTGCTCCGAGAGTAAATACGTCATCAAATAGTCCTTGCTCCACGTGTAGCTCTCTTATGTACTTCTGGTTTCCTCCCTCACGGCTATAAAAGGAGGCGGCCAGACCGTTTCTAGGGGCCGGCGGATAGAGTCACGAACACTCGCACGAACAACATTCGTTCTCATAATTCATATCACCTCCCCACACGAGAGACTTGGGACGAACTCCTCTCTCGCCTAGCTTGTAACCCCCTACTACGAGCACCTCGGTGCAAGGAATACAAGAACATCTTCTCAGACTGGACGTAGGGCATCCATTGCCCGAACCAGTATAAACCTTGTGTCTCTTTGCATCACCATCCGGGATTGGGAGCACGCAGCACAAATTCACTAGTCGGTTAAGGACCCTCGGTTCCGAAACACCGACAACATCAAAGACCAAATCGGTCGTCTTCTTCATTCGAGCGGCCACTGCCTACCGGAGTTTGAAGATAGCACTACAAAGATGGCAAAGGAAAGGGACACCTGCAAACACCCTCGCCAAACATGGCTTTGAAGACCGCAAAATTCACTCGCCGCTAATAGCGATATCCAGTATCCACTGAAAGAATATCGGCCGGAGAAATCCCCCAAAGAACATAGGCTTACAATCCTCCAGCATTAAAACAAAGTGTTGAAGATTTCAGACCTTGTTGTAGAATAGACCAAAATAAGAGGTCAAGATCGCCGCATCAAAAGCCAGGCAACTGCTACCTCTGATAAACACAACAAATGCCAAGATCCGAAGAAAATCCACATATCTGACAACCAAACTCCCACTAGCAAGAAAATCCACGTATCTTACAACCAAACTCTCACTAGCCCTTCAACGACGCCAGATCGAACCTCGTCAAAGTAGGAAGGGGTCGGACAGACTTTATTCCAAAGTATCATCATTGCCACCATCTCATCAATAATAATAGAACCAAATCCTACATCAACAAAGATCCATAAACTTAATCTAAAACTATGAAGGAAAAAGAGATCAGGATGAGATTATGGGTTAGGAGTGAGGAGGGGGACAGAGCCGAGGGCGGCGGCAGCGGCAGTTGGGATCGGCGGTTGGGATCGGCGGTGGCGTTGTGTGCGTATTGGATCCTGATTTCTTTTACTTCAACCCAGCAAATTCTCTTTACTCGAACAATGGTTCCAACTTCCAAGAGTTGTTTTGCATGCAGCCACTAGGAATCACCGTATTTATTCAAAAAAAAAGGAATCACCGTATTTATTTGGCCACTAAAACAGGGTTGATATGCGGCTGTGAAAATCATTTTCGATCACTAAATAATGACGCACGCTTACAGACACTACCGTCCACATGCACGTATGTGGATGAAAACAAAGGGAAAACAAATCACATTCGAACAGATATATATCGATATAAACATAAATAATTGTTATTTAGGTTTGGGTTTAGAAACTAATAGTGTCAAATGTGTTGAATATAATTAGTTGTGGTCAATGGATAATCGGATACTAGAAGTGAGCTACGCAAATATCCATATCAAATATATTTGAACTCAAATACGAGTTATCCAATTATCCAATTAGTATATATAAACCTCTGAACTATTATAAGTCTTAACCCTTCGAACGTATAGAAATTATATGTCAGACTTGTTTTTACCCCTACACGTGCTTTTAAAATAAGTGACATTCCATGTGCTCACCGCAGCTTTTCTTATCTGCAGCTGCAGCCGTGGCTGCAAAAAATAAACTAGAATATACTAGAACACGGGATATTTTACATGTTCATGCGTTTTTCACGTAAAATTGAATTGATTCTTATAAAATTTCTACATTCTAAACAGACCTAGAAATATTCGAAGGGCACAAGCGGGCAAAATATTGAAGAAGCAAAGCAACCTTTTCATTCATTCAAAATTGGTGTTCAGTAATATTTTCTACCAACAGAAAACGGTGAATATTATTATCACACACATTTGAGCTCCTCGGTTCTCTTTCCTACTATTGCTTTTACGTTGCTATAGATGTTGATGTGCTTTCCTTTTCGAAATTTCTATCTGGTCAACACGGTTGTATGTAGTCACGAGCTGTCAATTTTGTCCTTAAAAGATACTATAATAATGCCCTTGCTTAGCCGAAACTGCAGTTGGCTTTTCAGTTTTCACAGTATAGAACTGGCTGCCCATTTCCGAGCTAGAACGGATGACCTTTAACATAGGACGTGGGTTGGGTGGGGTCCACTTGCAGCTACTCATCAAGGGTGGCTCCATAATCAGATGAAAAACGTACTAATCATGGAATTAAAGAGCAAATTGTTGCACAACAAGTTGGTCAAAGCATGGTACAACATAGTACGATATATGCCAAAAGAAAGTAATTGTGTGTTAGGTGGATGAACATATCTACAATAAAATCGACATTATTTAGAGAAGGTGGTTTTGTGCGTGTTTGGGGCTAACACACACCGAATTTCTTCGGTAGTCCACCGAAGAAAGCACCAGAGTTTTCACATAGTGCACCTGAACCAAACCCTAGCTACCAGAGTCATTACAGGAGAAGACCAACTATTCATGTTCATTATTACTATGATGAAACAAGTGTACTACTAGATTAACCACAACTAATAACCATATAAAACAAGTCATTACCATTCTAGAGTACATAAATCTTCAACAACCTTTCACGAGAAAACGAAGAAAGAGAGATGTGGATGAGCCTTGTCGCCCCACATTGAGCACCGACTAGAATCACCTATTGTTTGGCTTATATTCCTACTTAAAGGGAAAATGCAAGGTTTTTTTTTAGTCTGCACCTTAGATTTCTGACATGTGTACTTTTTCCCAACCTAGATCAAACGGCTTTGGAAGAAGGTCCACTAGGTCACTCATGGTTATGGATGTAGCAGTTTTCAACTAATACACAGACTCTAAAAAAAAGTCCCTTTTACCACTGCAAACTATCGTCATGGTCTGATTTCCTTCTCAAACTTCAAAACCATTTAAATTACCTCACTGTCTTGGTTTGGAGTGCTTGTAAATGCCCGATGAGGTTTTCAAACAATAAAAATGTCTTTAAGATTCTAAAAATTTTGAGAAAAAATCATAGATACATATTAGGACACGAAAAATCAAAATAACATATTTAGAATAGTGTAAAAATCTCTATGAGCTTCCAAAAAATAGATTTAGGTATAGAGAAATGGAAAAATATCCAAAAACTATGAAAAAATCCAAAACATTATAATCAATGTTTAAACGCATTTTGAAAACATTTCACAATGAAAACACGAGATACAATCAGTACAAATGCATAGCATGAATAAATTCAACATCGATTGGAATGTTTGTAAATTTTCAAAATGTGTTATATTCATGATGGTTGCATCTTGTGTTTTTGTTGTGGAAAATTTTCGAAATGCATTTATACATCGAGTATAGTGTTTTGTGAATTTCCAAATTTTCCTAGATTCTTTTTCCGTTTTCATAGAACCCTTCAATATGGGATACGAAGCTAACGTAAACGGTTTTAATAATAGTTAAAGAATATTGATATTTAATTGTAAGAGTACGTTGGAGTTGGAAAATCAGGCCACGACCACGATGGATTTCCGAGAAACTACTGCGCTGCGCCGAGTGGCCTAGCCCACAGGATAATTGGGTAAGGCCATAAGGGACATGCGCGCCAAGCTCGCCGTGCTCGCCACCGGCGCCCCTCCGCCACCACGGCCGCCCCACCCCTCGCGGCACCAGCGGCACATCCCGCGCCGTCGGTCTTTCAAGCCACCCCATTCTCTGCTCGACGGCGGACAGCCGTCGCCCCCGGTCCCCGCTTCGAGGAGGCGCGCCTGGCCGGCCGTCTCGGCAGCGCTCTTCGGTGAGGGGTTCCTCCTAGGCCCGCTCCTCGACGGAATCCACTCCCGCGTCGGCCTCCAGGTGTACGGAAACGGCGCCCTCGACGCCGGCCCTCTTCACACCCACATCCTGGTGCCGCCCCTGCTCGGCGCGTTCTACCTCACCGTCGGCCTTCTCCACCTGTTCTTGGACCAGAGGGCGCCCCCAAGATCCAAGGCCACCGGGACCGCGCGGAAGACGGCGACGTCGCTACTGTGCGTTCTAGCTAGATACGCTCATGCTTCTTTATCTTCTGCTATGCATTGATCGAGACATCGAGTGTTGTAAATGATCCATTGATTTACGCAGTGTTCTTGCTCTGTTCATCGAGCTGAGCGCGGAGCTGTACAGAGCAGGGGTGTCCAACAACTTGGAGGCCTACATCCTGTTCGCCGCCGCCGAGTTCGTGTGGGTGTTCCTCGATGGCTCCTGGCTGGGCTTCGCCATCGCCTGTCTCGTCGGCACAGTCTGCCCACTCGCCGAGATCCCATTGATCAAGTAAAGACATTCGTTTCAAGTTTGTACCTACCCGGATCAATAGCTTCGTTTGCAATCTGCTGACTGTAGTCTGTACCACCTGCTGCGTGCGTTCATCTTACACTTTGCTAACATTATTTCTGGCACTGCCACTGCTAATGTCGCATCTGCAGATTACTTGGGTGCTGGAGCTATCCGAACGCCGACGTCCACCTGCTCGGCGAGGTACGTTTTCTTCTCCGCCAGGCGACAGGACCGGATCACGCACGCATCTCTCTGTCCTCTGTTAAATACTAGCGTCAGCGTCACGTCGTTGTGTGCGGGTTGTTCAGGGGCTGGTGAGCTGGACGACGACGTGCTACTTCGTCTACACCCCGTTCCTGGCGAACCTGGCGAGGTGGCTCGATTCACGGCTGGCAACCAACGACGGCAGCGCGCAGGGAGAGACGACGAAGCAGCTCGGTCTTGACACCGGGATCAGCAGCACGCTCATGACCTGCTCCGTTCACCTGCACTGCATGATTCCAGACTGAAAAAACATTGTGCAGAGTTGCACGGTTCAGGGCTTCAGAGCTCCCTCCCGCTTGCATTGCGCAGTGCCAAATGTCACGATGGTTGTTGGGTCTTGCGAAGGTTCTCTGAGAGAGTAATACTCGGAGCATATGCCGTGCTGTTCCGATAAGCGTCTGATGGCGATGCGGCCTTAATTTTATGATGGCCGTAGGGGGAGGAGGAGAACGATGGGCATGGTTGTGCATAACTTTTGTTATAATGATCTGAAAGCATGGCCGCATTATGTTGCGGATTTGTCTTCAGGAGAGACACTCCAGCGACGTACGTGGCGACAGGTGTTCTGATACCTGAAAAATAGTGTCTTTTTTGTGTTGTTCTGCTTTGGATGCACGCCTGAGAAATACTGAATCTATTGGGATTGTCAACAAACTTTTTACGTTGCTTGTGTACATCGCACTTCTCTGCACCCAATTATGCCATTGACACTGTGCACAGACTGACAGACATTAGTGGCAAATAACAGAAGGATTAAAATTGCCAGTATGTTGTTTATCTGAAAGAATGGACGTATGGCTGTCAACTGAGCTTACTGGGTAGTGTGACATCTATGCGGCGTATTACCTAGCTATCTAATTGGCATGTTCCATCAACTAGAAAGAACACTCAGACTAAGCACATTATTACGAACAATGGTGTCAGTAACTGAAGCCTGAAGGAAATGAGCTGTCTTAAGAGCAGTCCAGCAGTTGGTATGACCAGAAGAGCACTAGTGAAGACGTACACCCCACTGGGCAACGCAGTGCACGAATCTAACGAGCTCCCACGTGGAATTCAGTTAGGTGTAAGAATTCAGTCAGGTAACGCACCCACTGCAAACCACATGCAGAAACGAAGAAAACTTGCGCAGTGCTGTTTTGGAGTTAAAAACAAAAAACACGTATAAAAGCAGAACCGAGATGTGGGGTGAACAAGCATTCACCGGCAAGCATAAATAATATCAGAATATCTTCACGACATCACTGCCAAGCACCAACCACGTCCCAACTGGCTCACCTACAGCCCAGCAGACAGCAACACAACCAAACCCTGACCATGGCCTTTGTGTGATGTACTCCACCTGACAAGATAGCCTTGCACGAACACAACAGATTTCTTGCAAGAAATGCAGATTCACCTGAAACCAGTAAACAAAAAAGCCCGTGCGCTGTCAGAGCTCGTAGGACACTACTATATGAAGCTGTTACTACGACTGTTGATGCTTGAGCAGGCAGTTGAGCATTGCCATCATCCACCTGCGTTCTGACTTCAAGGCTTTTGAGAGTAGATCCATCGATCGAGCCACTGAACGATGGCTTCCCTCCTCCTGTTCCTGCGAGCCATTGTCAGTGCCAATGACGAGGGACTCACGGGCGCGGCGGCGGAGGAGACGACGACACCGACAACGCATGAACAGCGGCCGGGGAAGTGGACGTTCCCGTCGACGCGTCCGGCGACGGCACCGGCACGCGACACGGAGGAGGAAGAACGGTGGCTGGTCTCCTGCCTGCAGTGGCCTCGCGTCGATCGCAAGTCCGCGTGGATGCAGATAGTTTGACGGCCGGCCGGGTCCGACCACCGAGTACTTGAGGAGACAATCTGAGTGTAACTATATATTACTCGATGGCGGTTCATCTCGGCTTGCCCTTGCCATGTGTTTCCTGGATGAATTCCGTCCCAACGTTTCCACGTGGTGCTGCCACTGCCAGCAGCCTTGTGACCCTTAGCCAAGCGTCAAGTCGTTCCACGCTCGCTTGACCGCTAGAGGTCGTGAAAGCTCAGGTCTTGGTCCCGGATTCCCCAGCGAGCCAGCCCCGCCGAGACCAGACGTTGCCATGCAACGGCCACGAGACGGTTGCAATAGTGCTACCAGCCTACCAGACATGGCTTCCCTTCTCCCCGAGCCCGAGGGGAGCGCGCTCCCATGGCAATGGATTGGGGCCTGGTCCGTCCGGGTCCGGGGTACCTACCTGAAAACCGACGTGGCCTCGTCAGCACGGCTCTAGGTGCGGCTCATAGTCTTGCCGGCGACGGCAGCGTCCTCATGTCGTCATGTTCATTCTTGGAGGTGTCATTGAAGACCCACTTGCCACCTTGCCATGCGTGTGGTCTTAGGGTGAAAACCCAATCCGGTGTCATAGATGTGTGATGGTGACATCTTTCATGTCATTCTTCTCCTGAAGGCGTCGCATTTGGAGACCACCTACACCACGTGGATGTTCATCTTGCACAAGCCCAAATCCACCTTCAATGATCAACCCTTGGTGTTTGCACAAGTTACTAACCGACAAATATCACTGTCGGTGTCCTTAATTGATTGCTTTGTGTCACTAAATGTCGGGTTACCGGGACCTTGATCCTCTCTTGGATCTCCTCCTCCTATTGGCGGTCCACTCTCCTTTGTGGCTTCCTCTCTCTAAATGGGCGTTGGTGGACGTCGATCGGATCCTATATATGCTTCAAAGACATTGTAAATCACGGTTGTCATCTTACTCGACATAAAAAAAAAACTTAACAGGCACATGTAGAATGAAGATCGCTAGAGTAGACATGTCAGAGCATCCCCAATAGTTTCTAAAAAAACTATTGGTAAATCAATGAGCTTTCTAAGTGACTAAAAAAAGTTGGGAGCATATTTGTTGAGTTGCTCCTACAATTTTTAAAATCTCGATCCTAAAATATATAAGACAATTTTACATCAAGAATCTCATAAATCATCCTAATCACTTTTATATTTTCTCTCTCTTGTATATTTGTATCAGAAACTCTGTCCTACTCTTTATTCCTCCCCACGTCTGCAATCAGGTAGAGTTTCCCATGTGCGGAAAGATTGGGAGTTGACACAGAGAGTTGTTGGATATGCTCTTAGTTGAGTACAGTCACTTGATAGTGGTATTAGTCTTCTTTTTTTTTTTTGTGGGGGATAGGGATTTTCATTACTCCGACAGAGCTGAATCATCAGTAATTATAGATTGAATACATGCCGGAATGGAGATAAAAGATTGTTCCTCCTCCAGATCACATAAGCTACCTAACATTGCCAATTCATGCACTACCCTATTACACGATCGCGGCCGTTGCTGAATCTTCCAGGAGATGAAGTTCAGAGCCAGCAGACTTCATAGTTCAGAGATAAGGTTGGTATTAGTTGGTGAACAACGATGTGCTTTTGTGATGGGAGTTTTTTATTTCCCCCTTATTTGTTATTGCTTTTGTCATGGGAGTTTTTTATTTTGGAAAATTTTATGTGAAAGCGAGGTGCTGCTCACAGTAAGGTAGTAAGTGCAAATTGTACACGGATTCCAACTGCCAGAAGAGCACCATTGATACACAGTATATTTTTTCAGTTACTTCCTCTTATGTCTTATCACAAATATAAGTTCATTCAAACATCAACACAATCTCCAAAGTGTGACTTTGACTGTAAATATCTATAGAAATAAACTTACGATCAAAGGTAGTAAACTGGGATCCTCGTTATTCTACTGCGCTGAAAGCATATGCGATTTAGCACAACCAATCAAGGTACAAAATGTTAAATGGTTCAAATTTCAGGGAGACAACACCCCTTCAGCCCCAATCGATGAACGGGAGGGGAGGATAGCCGCCTTCAGGAGGAGGTTGCAGTGACGGCCGCAGGTTGCCCCAGGAGGTGCGCCCCCCCAGTATGTTCCCTGCGCAACAATAACAGAGGAATGAAACAATGCCAATGCAAACTCGCTAAAGGTAAGTGTGATGGAACTCATTAACGAGATAAATCATGATGGAGCATTTGCAAAACGGTGAACCCTATGCTTCCCTGGCAGTTTAAGCACTTGAAAGCATCACAAAATTTCAGAATTCAGACCTGGAAGCTGACAACAGCTCCAAACCAAACAAATTTAAGGCCTTTAATCTGTAGGCCCTCCTTCCTAGTCGTCTTGAGGCACCAACCGACAGGCCCGCTTGCAATCGAATAGCCTCGAAACATCCAAACGGCACGCGATCAGTCTCTGGTAGGCACCAAGTCACTAACCAATGGACCCGCTGGCACGTGATCGTGTAATTGAAAACGTCCAAATAGGATGATTGTGTGGCAAGGGCTCCATTCATGGCAGGACAGCTGACTAAACTGAGGATATGATAAGCATATAGCTTATCGCATATCACAATTCTTTCTGTAAGGTGGGTGCCAGAATTTAGAAATCTTTTGTTGGTTTTCAGAGGAGAATATATTAGTACCTTAATTATGTGTGTTTCTTCTAAGAGCAGGTGTTCTCTACTTACAAGTAGAAGTAGGTTTCATCTCATTCAATGGTCATCAACACAATTTTCCCTTCATGGCATGTTAAATGGCAACCCAAATATTTTTTTTTTAAATACTAGATGGAAAAAAAATTTGTAACACTAGAACTCGAGAAGTGCAATTGTTTATTCTGGATTGGTGAGACCATGAGACACCTACAGTTAAGCACACTTTTCATATATTTACTAGTTACTTGACTGAGTGGGTGTATATAACTCTTAAAATTTTCATATCCATTGTTTTCAAGTTCGGGCTTCATAAAGAATACTGTAAACAATCTCTAAGCATTGACTAGAATGCAGAAATTAATTGTTTATGAAGCAAAATCTAACTAGTAATTTCAAGGTTAGGCATGCAATCATACAGTTAACTATAACAATATTGTGTTGATAAGAATCTCATGCAATAAAAAGATTACCTGAGGAAAAATTTCTGTCTGCTCCCTGGTATCCAACAAAATTGGGTTGGTTCCCAATAAAATCAGACTGCTGCACCAAGGGTCCAGGACCAGACCCAGGTCCTGAATGATACAAATTTATTGGAAACATACAAGGCCTATCCATTGACTAAACCAACCTCAGTATTGTTTTAGCGCTGACGGAACTAATAAACAAATGTTTCTCCAAGTTATAAGCATCAGGTGTTACCAATAGTAATTGTAAATATAAGCTTTGTAATGCATTCAAGATAATTAGTCAT